CACCCCCAAGAATTACTGTTCTTAGCAATCTCTCAGAAAAGTCGGGGACGAGCTATCTCGTCCTTAGCACTGAGGGCACAGAAAATGGAAGAAGAGTTAACTCGTCCTTAGCAGTCTACCGGGTAGACGAGTTATCTCGTCCATAGCAGCGAAAGGGTTAAGTGTTATCTGTATTGGCACTAGTTGTGGCGACGGCTGAGTTTCTGATGAAGTTTTAATATCCACTACACACAAAGACTTGTGTCGGTGCTGATCGAGACAAGTCAAGTAACGTTGAAATGTCTGATATAGTCGGGCTTTGTCACACAGCGACAGCTCTTCGTTTTCCAGGACATGTTGCATATGAGTATCCAAATTGCGTAGGCTATCACTGACTGTGTCGGGTGGTAGAAATTGTTTTTGAAGCACAGTACATCAAACGCGGGTCGATCAATATTATTTTCTTGGCCATGGTTAGAAACCCAAAATAACATTTATCGCACTAAGTACTTGAGCTAATAAAGCCCCGAGAAACCTGCATGCTGTAAAATCTTTTTTCGCTTTTTGATTGAAAGTCTCTTTTTAGTGAGCGCTCTAGGGTTGTTTTTGCAATGACACAAGAGTCTTTTCTGATCTGGTTTAAGGATGATATTACCTTTTAATACGTTGTGACGACATTTACAAAGCGTCTGTATGAGCTCCGGTGAGGTTTTTTTTAATATTATGTCTTTAGCTGTGCATCTCGCCATGTCGCTTTAGCCTGTCAGACATTACTTAGGTACGTACATTACTCGTTTCTCATCGAAGAATATTTCGCCGCGTAGTCTGAGCTGGTCTGCAGTGTCTTGTTGGAGGTTGAACAGCAAATAACTGTGGGGGTTAGCCGTCGCGTCTTTAAAGCTTTCTGGGACGCAGGAAACGCGGCTGGGATACATTTGTTTGGCCAAGTTGGTGATCTGTGACCCGTCACGAGGATTTTTGAAAACTTTTAGTAATGCGCATTCAAACTGATAGTTCTTTGTTCTTTGTTAAAAAAAAAAAAAAAAAAAAAGAATTTGCACAATATAAATCACGCTGATATTGCGATAGTGACTGCTTTTAGTAAACAGTTTAGTGACTCTGTCGTCCGTTTATTTATCATCCATTGTTCCATATCTGGAAGACCTTCATTAAAGATGACGCCCTCCAGGCTGTCATACAGAGGTTGCCATTCCCCGTAGCACCAAATAATCTCCTCCGGCACCGGGTCGACCATAGCGCTCATATGTTTCAAAAACTTCTGCACAAATACAGTTTTACCGCTGCCGGTAGGCCCGGGAATCAGAGAGGTGAAAGGATGCCCCGACCACGGGTCCATAACTAATAATGATATTGTCTGCTTCTAAACAGCTTCTTTTGTCGAGTTAAAGATACATAGCGCTATTTAAAACTGTTTAATGTTACCTCAAAGCTAAGAAAACGACAGCTTATCAAAGAGACGATGCGGCTGCTGATGATGATGATCGCGCGCAAGCCACACTTTCTCCCTGCCATCAAACCACCATCCTAGGTTTCTTTATCTATCCCTTGAACTGGCCCAGCGGGCGTGTGGGCGTGCGTACGGGCGGGCGGGCATACCCCGTTGAGCAACAGGCTAACCGACTGCCGACAATAGTCATCTTCCTCCTTTGGAATGTAGACTCCACTGGCTCTCCGCCACTGAGTACATATGCTCTTTCGTCTTAACGTTAGTTTTAGCAAGCAGTGAAGCATTCGTGGGACTTTCCGACAGCGTTTATACACCACGTACGAACAACCACTGGGACCTGGTAAGGTATATGTCGATGGCTCTCTTCACAACCACTTAGAATTCAAACCAGGAGGAAGGCATGATTTTGAACGACACTTTCAGCAACTCTGGCCGCTTCTGGCAGCTCGTGATCTCTGGGTTGTCAAGCAGAGGTTCATTCCTTGTCCTGTCTGAGTACATCTTCAGTAGATGTGACTACAGCTCCTCTTTATCGACAATCAGAGTCGCAGGCTTTGGTTGCTAGAACAGGCTTCGAGCAAACTGAAACAGGTCCCTAAAGAACATCTCTCGCTCCCTTTTGTTTCTCGGTCTGTTCTTACAGAAACGTTTAGCGTGATCGAGGGCACTGAGTCGACTGTTAATACATTCTCACATAAATGCATACCTACCTTCGCAATCGCACACAAACAAATACATCCATATATACATATGAATTACAGATGCATACATGCAGACATTCATGCATGTATACATGCATATATATCGATGTTTGTGTGTTTGTTTATGAGCTATAGACTCGGAAACTACTGAACCGATTTAGCTGAAATTTTCAGGATATGTTTGTTTTGATACCGGAATTTTACCAGTCATGGTTTGAAATTCTACCTGTCATTTTTAGAGATAGGTGACTGTTAGGAAAATCTTTGAAACTAATATTTCAATTTTTAGTGACATTTAATTATAGCCAGGTTAGTAAATGCGCATGGGCGATCGACTTTCACAGTGCATTTGCAGTAGGCACAGGACGATATATTTTTAACATCGGCTTGCGACGAAGTTATTCCTAGGACAACAATTTTTTGCGGAGTCTAGAAATATCTCACAAGGTAAGCGCATTTACTTCACTCCCATTTGTCAGTATGTAATTTTTTTTTAGGGGGGGGGGGGGGGGGAGGGGGGGGGGGTTTATTCAAATAAGTGTGGACCACTTCTTAAATCACGCAATGATAAATGTATACACATCTGTTGGCTTTCTCATACTGTCTAGCCTACTATAATGATTGTTACCTGTTTACATGTCTTCCGTTATTCAAAAGAATTTTATAAATTTACATGTTACCATTATTATTCTTATTATACAGAACTGCTACAGTTTACATGTCTACACAATTTCGGTTGGCTTTCTCCTATTATTTAAATGAATTATGTACATTTACATGAAATTCCGTTGCAGGTCAACTGCAGGTAGTCTGTAGTTAAGTCGATTATTTCAGTCGCAAGACATATATATAACCCAAATCTTACTGCTACACTGGACACCTATTCATATTGTTTACCAACTTTTCCTAATATTTGCTGCACAGTTTCTATGCATTTCCTCTTGAGTCGAAATAGAAAGTTACTTCATGCTCATATTTTCATTTATTTAAGCTAGAGACTGGACACTACCTATTCATTTCTTTTACCGGCTTTTCATAATATTGGCTGCGCAGTTTCTTTGCATTACCTCTTGAGTCAAAATAGTTTTATCTCATGCTCATATTTTCATTTTTTTTTCAGCGATACTTCAAGTCACATTTCATTCAGTGCGTGGGGACGAACAAGCTATTGACGATCAATGCTCTCTAAATTCACACGCTCTTCACTATTTTGTCAAACATTTGCAGTTACGCCTCCCAAATGGCAAGTGATTGGCCCATCTACACCTAGAACACGCAAGAGAAGGGCATTTATTGCTTAAGAAACAGATGAGCAACATGAGGTAAGACTGGAAACCATTCGAGTGCGCACTGCCGAATCCCGTTCGTCTCAATCAGACCAGCAAGACTAAAATTTTCGAGTGCGCACTGCTGACACCAGCTCACCTCTATCACTGCCCGGCGCTGATTACAAATTTCTTCAGATTTATTTGAAGGGAAACACTGATCAACAAGTTGATCAACGTTTTCGATTTAATAAGGGGACACAACGAGAAATAGTCGCTGCTTTACAAACTTTGTTTCGATCAACACAACAAATTAATTACATTGTTCAGAACTGCTCTTCTACAAAAACCAGCTGATGACTACAGACTTGTACTTAGAGCTGACAAAACACCTGTTGGCCAACACGACAGTCAGTACAATGCACCAACAATTGATGAAGTGGCGATTGTTATGGTTGGCGAAGACTTTAACTCGCGTGATATAATTCTTGATTACAGAAATTGTAAAGCGACACATACATATATTGACTTTGAAGACCAATATGCATATGCAACTACAACGTGATGCAACTCCTGAACGTTTTTGCAAAACAGTTCTTGGATATTGGGAATGGGACAATGCCAACCGATGAATCCACACGATATATCACATTGCCAACAGACTTCTGTAAACTTACAGCTACCACAGCCGAACTGATTTACAAAGTTTTCCCTAATATCACAAAGACTCATAAAAATCATCAGTGGCTCAGTGAACGTGCTATATTAGCAGCTAACAACAAGGATGTGTATGCCATGTATCCGAACATTCAGGACAATTTAACAGGCGGACTGACAACGTATGTCTATCGATACTGTAATGATTCAAGACGAGGTTGTCAATTATCCGACTGAGTTCTCGAATTTGCTTGATTTGCCAGGCATGCCACTACATGTTTTAACCTTGAAAGTAGGTTTGCCTGTCATTCTTCTTAAAACATCAATCCGCCACATTTTTGCTCTGGTACCAGGCATTCAGTGAAAAAGATGGTGCCCAAAATCATCGTAAGTACAATTTTACATGAACATTAAAGGGCTAGGATCTACTTTTGCAACGCTATTCCAACAGACATGTCATTCGAATTCAAATGCTTGCAGTTTCCAGTTCGACTCGCCTTTGCAATGACCAACAAGTGTGTGGACTTCATTTGGAACATCTATGCTTTTCACATGGACAGCCATATGTGACCTGTTCACGCGTCGGAAAACTTTCTGATTTATTCGTGTACACACCAGACGGAAAAACTAAGAACATTGTACACCCGAAAGCACTTCAGTAAACAATAACAATGACATTTTAAATTGCCTGTAAGTAACGACATACATACATACATACATACATACATAATACATACATTCATACATACATATATACATACCTACGTACGTACACACATACATTCATAGCATGCATACATACATAAATACATACATATATACATATACATATACATACATACGTACATATAAGTACATGCATACATACATTCATGCACATATACATTGAATACTCACATTTTTGCATACATTACATACACACATACATACCATCTTCATGGACAACAACTCTAAGCCATGTAAAGAAAAATGGTTCTGGCAAGGTGAATTGTGCCTGTGTTACCCCGAATTTAGCAAAGCACGTAGTGTCATCGTTGTCTACTGCAGCTGGGTCGTTTTCAGTGTTGTAGGCTAGATCAACTATAAATCAAGCCAAGGAAACATTATAATGTGGTTAAAATGCGGCTGCGTTTCACTTCTCTGTTATATGAATGTATGTATGTATGTATGTATGTATGTATGTATGTATGTATGTATGTATGTATGTATGTATGTATGTATGTATGTATGTATGTATGTATGTATGTATGTATGTATGTATGTATGTATGTATGTATGTATGTATGTATGTATGTATGTATGTATGTATGTATGTATGTATGTATGTATGTATGTATGTATGTATGTATGTATGTATGTATGTATGTATGTATGTATGTATGTATGTATGTATGTATGTATGTATGTATGTATGTATGTATGTATGTATGTATGTATGTATGTATGTATGTATGTATGTATGTATGTATGTATGTATGTATGTATGTATGTATGTATGTATGTATGTATGTATGTATGTATGTATGTATGTATGTATGTATGTATGTATGTATGTATGTATGTATGTATGTATGTATGTATGTATGTATGTATGTATGTATGTATGTATGTATGTATGTATGTATGTATGTATGTATGTATGTATGTATGTATGTATGTGTGTATGTATGTATGTATGTGTGTATGTATGTGTGTATGTATGTGTGTATGTATGTGTGTATGTATGTGTGTATGTATGTGTGTATGTATGTGTGTATGTATGTGTGTATGTATGTGTGTATGTATGTGTGTATGTATGTGTGTATGTATGTGTGTATGTATGTGTGTATGTATGTGTGTATGTATGTGTGTATGTATGTGTGTATGTATGTGTGTATGTATGTGTGTATGTATGTGTGTATGTATGTGTGTATGTATGTGTGTATGTATGTGTGTATGTATGTGTGTATGTATGTGTGTATGTATGTGTGTATGTATGTGTGTATGTATGTGTGTATGTATGTGTGTATGTATGTGTGTATGTATGTGTGTATGTATGTGTGTATGTGTGTGTGTGTGTGTGTGTGTGTGTGTGTGTGTGAGTGTGTGTGTGTGTGTGTGTGTGTGTGTGTGTGTGTGTGTGTGTGTGTGTGTGTGTGTGTGTGTGTGTGTGTGTGTGTGTGTGTGTGTGTGTGTGTGTGTGTGTGTGTGTGTGTGTGTGTGTGTGTGTGTGTGTGTGTGTGTATGTATGTATGTATGCATGCATGTATGTATGTATGTATGTATCTATGCATGTATGTATGTATGTATGTATGTATGTATCTATGCATGTATGTATGTATGTATGTATGTATGTATTTGTATATATACATGTGTGTCTGTGTTTTCCCTTTATTTGAGTAGGGAACTCGTCGTGGCGTTGGCGACATACGGCCGCCTGTGGGTCGGAATGTCGTGGGTTGGCGTTCTGAGAGCGCGGTGCATTTTCCTAAATATGGCCTTGAGTGGGTACCAGTTTCAGATCTAGGAAATAAAGGCGACTGGCGTGATTCTGATACAATCACCCACCAAATGCTGATTGGTCTATCAAAATATATGTCTAGCCCTCTTTTCCCAATACGCCTAAAGGCTTAAAAAATGGACCTTTATTTTATTTACTTATATCTGGAATGCAGTTAATTCACAAAAGTATCTTTTGAATAAAAATAATGAACTCTGTAACATTAGAGAAAACTCAATGTGTGTGTGCGCGTGTGTGTGTGTGTTTTTTTTTTTTTTTTCCACATCTTGAACGATCTTTTGATTTAATACTTACTAGGATGAAACTCTGCAGCGTTCGCGGCTAAGGCGTTGAGAGTCCGACTTGCAACTCTAACGTACCCTGATAGAAACCCACTACTGCGTGCATTTGTATCATGGTATGGGGCGTCGCAGTTCGATCCAGCCCAAAAATGGGAACCAGAATGGCTGTCCTGAGTAAGTAACGACGGCTGGCGTAATGCTGACCACATTACCCAACCAGTGCCTATTTGTCTGTAACAATATGAGACGCTCTTCTTATGTGCCCGATGGGCCTAAGGCGTGAAAAAGGATGTTTACTTGACTTAGAATGAAACTAAGGAACAACAGTTGTCACCAATGTGGCCTCTGTTAATACGCAAATAAATACTGTACAGCGATTATTACTAACAAATTATAAATACAAATTTTGTTTAATTTTTTTAAGCCTATGTGAATTAAAAATACGTACAATGAAATATCTTGTCTAAATTCTTGTTTGGATGTTGGGGTATCTGGGGTGTCAGATACAAGTGGAACCTCTGGCAAGGTGACCGCCATGTTCGTCTTAGGGCAGTTCACCACCATTGGGTTAGGTCTGGCACTCAGCTCTCTCCTGTGGTTAACAGCAGCTGCCAGTGTGCGACAGCTGCAACCTCCTGGGCCACAAGCTTCACGGATGGCCAAACCAGGAGAGGGTAGCCGACCTGGTTGTAAACAGTTCGGTGACTGGGGTATGCCTACCCTGCATGCAACGACTGGACTTGGCAGGTTGTGCGGCTGAAACCTCTTATAGTTCGACGGACAAAAAGGTGATAACCAGCAGGCTCTGTGGAGAGCTTAGAGCAAGTTAGAGCACTTAGGACATCTTGGTCATCCACTAGATAGTCAAGATAGTCAGTGCACTGTTACAACAACAAAAGGAATGACAGACTGCTTTCCCATCACATCACGTCTCAGATAAGGATGTGCCCTGCACAGGAAGAAATCAATTCACTTTTTTTTGGGCCAACAGTAAGTGTCCAATACACCACTAAAAATAGAATTTACAACACCATACTGACTCCTTACATCAAGCCTGCACAAAGTATGACATTAGAATAAACACCTGAAAATATGAGGTAATTAAAATAAGTAGGAAGCATAATATCATGAAGGTTCGTGTTAACAATACCTCAATCAAAGAAGCACGAGCATTCAAATATCATGTAAACATATTTACGGAGGATGGCAGACTCAATAGAAAGATAGAAGCCAGAGCAAAGAAATCGAATGCTGTCACCTACTGCTTAGACTCCCTTTTAGCAAAATCGCAAATGATTAATAGCCTATTTTCCCACTTTATATTATCGATGCGAAACAATAACAATGAATAGGGCACTAGAACAGAAAATGACTACACGTGAAATGCGCTGTCTCCATAAGGTCACAAACAAAACTAGATAAGAAAGGGATGCGAATACCAGAATTGGAGAGACAGTTGGAATAAGACCATGTTCTAATTATATTGACAGACAGAGAGTGAAGTGGTGCAGCCATCTTGTGAGAATGCAATAAAACCAGACTGCATGTGAGACTTTTCGCAGTAGAGTATCTGGGAAGAAGGCTAGTGGACAGGAATCAAGTACGGTAATGACCTCTGAGATTTTCCTCAGCCCAAGATAGAGATGAATAAATGATGTAGCTAAAAAGAAGATTAACAAAATTATCACTAAAGCCACCCAAAAAAGAGCAAGACAAATAAAGAAAACCACGACACTGGGCTACAACCTGGTATTAGTGAGACGGAAACAAAGGAGGTAATCCACTGCTTCTATGTGCAAAGGATCCCAAATACATACTGTGGTTCTTGTCAGGACACACCTGCCTAAAATCCACACGATACTAAAGAATTACCACCTGCGTTAGACTGGGCATCTAGCCCGCATGCCAGACTGTCACCTCCCAAAGAAAGTATTTTATGGGAAGCTCCAGCAAGGGAAGAGGTACCAGGAAGGACAGAGAAAGCGCTTTAAGGACTCTCTCAAAACGTCGCTTAATTCTTGTAGCATTAACCCAGAAACATAAGGACGCTGCTGCACAGGATCGTTCTGGATGGCGTACATCCCTCAGGCATAGTGCATCAACCTGACGGGCAGCGTTTGCACAGGCAGAGAAACGGATGCAGATTAGAAAGAACCGCATCGCTTATCCCACACTTACTACGGCTTCCACATCTTGTCCGCACTAGTCAGTCAGAACTTTCAAGGCTTTCATTGGACTAATCAGCCACCTTCCTACTCACAATCATTGATCTTACTTTTTTTGAATGAAATGTGGTCTTTATCACTGGTAATGGACAAACAATAATACGAACTTTTAGATGTTTATGTGAGAAAGGAAACAACTGGAGAAAAAAGAAGGGAGCTAGAGGAGTCAAGAACAATAATGACATTAAGTGTCTCCTCATATGATGTATAATCTCCGTAATTAAGGTGCCTCCTAATATATTTCCTATAGTAATTCCGGGTTTCCTCTGTAAACCTAGGTAAGGTGCCTCCAACTATATATCCCACTGTAATGAGGTGATTTTCCAACGGGTTCCCAGATGGGTATGTAGGTTCAAGGGTAAGTCAAGAGAAAAGGGCGTGAGAAAGACAACTGCTTGCAAAATCACGGGTTTAACGGGAGACAGCGGGTGTGGAGAGGGGGGAAACAGAGCGGTTCAAAAGGTGAAAATAAGATCTATTTAGTTGGTGCTCGGCAGCCAGAGCGACTGCTTGAGTTCGAGAGAGGTGTGACTGCTATGAAGTGTTTCTGAAGACTTGTAAAAAAGGTATGATTGCAATTAATTGGATCTGACGACGTGGGAAGAAGTCTGATTTCTCAAGATGAATGCCTGACCAGAAGTTATTCAAGTAACACCCGGCTTGACAGTGAAGATTGGCAGCAGAGTGCTTGCTGGAGATGTAAATGCATCGCCTGTGCGTTGCGTAAATGATCGGTCAGAAATGCAGGTAACGAGTGATAACGATTGTTTACATCTCAGAATTATATTTCACTATTTGCTCTTTTAAATCTCAGTACATGCAAGAGATCAGCAGACTAGATCTGCGACTTGTTTCCTTATCATTCACGTGAGAAACATGATCACCAGAAAGTAGGAGACGGTTGGAACCGCAGGAAGACGGTCAGAGGAAATAAGAAAATCCTGGGCAGGACAATTCACGAGGTGGGTGCTCTGGTGAGATCAGGAGTTCTTTCAAGGACGCTGTGATGTGAGCGAAGTTCCGCAAGGAGCCTGATGCGCAACGATGATTTAAAACATAATAATGACCGCCTCATTAATCGCCGTTTTTAAATTACCAACATGTGTCCATATGTGGGTTCAGGTGAATTATTCGGAGTTGGCGGGAGTAGACCCATTCCCTAATAAAATACAAGATGTAAGAGGTGACCAATTAAGGGCATGTTGGAATGGTATGATTTTGACAGAAAAGCTCAGATATCGCAGCCTAGCTGTAACCCACAACACATATAGTAAAAAATGAAGCATGTACAGATGCAACAAGTGTGGAAATAACCTACCATACTGGCATGCGGGGCCGAACCATCCATTCTTGCACTTCGAAGTGCCCGTGCACTGGCCACTGGTATCACATGCGTTATTCTCACATCGACATTTATATTTACACCCAGATCCAAACCAGTCAGTCGGACAGCCTAGCGCAGGTCATAAATTACAAGAGAGGGAAATTATCACAGTGAAAGATTTAACACATTTGTTTGAATCACATATATAATCCCCCCAAAATAAATTGTCGTTTCTGCCATTACAACGCAGTTGTAATACGATTGCTGAATCTGAACGTTGACACGGTCAACAAAGGCGTGCAGAAGTCAGAAATTTTGGCTGAAAAGCGCAAATATCATAGCCATGCTGTAAATGGGCGCGTTTACATCTTAGGATGAATGGAAACGAAGAATAAACTATGGTCAAAGGTTAGGAAGTAAGCAATTTTTTTGCAGCTGGTCTCTAAAGCGGCCCCTTAATTAAAAAAGATTCCAACACTAGGTTCTGAGGTTCTGACCCACATCGGACTGCGGGTTACACTTAGTTCTGAGGTTCTGACCCGCATCGGACTGCGGGTTACACTTAGTTCTGAGGTTCTGACCCGCATCGGACTGCAAGCTACACCCGGTTCTGAGGTTCTGACCCGCATCGGACTGCGGGTTACACTTGGTTCTGAGGTTCTGACCCGCATCGGACTGCGGGTTACACTTAGTTCTGAGGTTCTGACCCGCAACAGACTGCAAGCTACACCCGGTTCTGAGGTTCTATCCGCATCGGACTGCAGGTCACACCTAGATGGTAAAGTTTTTTTAACGGGTGATCTATATATAATTCATTTGTAGGTTCAACAAGGCATCTTGGATCTACTTTGTTGGTTAGCCGGTCAGATTGATATTTTTTTTTTTAAAAATATTAGGACAGTATTATACACCTTTCCTTAGCTGCACTGATAAGATAACGACACACTGAATAGTCAATGGCTGAGATGTAAAGAGGTATGTCATAATACTGATCACATCATACACGGGTCTAATGTTTAATGTTTTTTTAAGACATCACAAAATTCGAGACATATTCATAAGGACTCTGTCTACAGCAACCGCACAGTTCCAATTCCGATTTCACCAGTAACTATCTGATTTTTCATTCAGCTCGCTTTTCCCTTGAGTTTGCCAGATCCCCTAATCACTCCTAGCAGTGCCTTTCTCCTCAGATCGATTGGTTATACAACAAAAATGAGTCTTAGCGTTCTAAAAACGTTTTCGAAGTTTCTGCTTTCTCTTTGATATCTGCTTCAGTTAGACTGTGATGCTACCTCAATTTTACCATGAACGGGTATAGCTGCATGCATCAAAAACAGTAAATATTATCTGTTATAACAAATGTACTTTTACTTACCTGGCTGTGCTTTTACGGAGAAGACTAACAGAACACAAGATAAACAGAATACATCAGTTATGTCCTCGAGTCTCATCTCACGAATGTTGACGTGTGTCAATACGTCCTAGCATGCTTAGCTGCAAGACAGCATAAGTAGTAGTAGTAGCAGCCGCAGCGGCAGTACTAGTAGTCGTGGTGATAGTAGTAGCTGTTGCTGTTGTTGCTGTTGTGCTAGTAGTAGTGATGGTGGTGATGGTAGTAGTCATGAAACAAAAAATAATAATATACGTATTAGTAATGAGAATTGTGCGGTTGTGATGACTTTACAAGCCATGCAGTGTTGGGTTCAAATTTGCAGCAAGTCATATTTACGTTAGTTCCTCTTTTCCTTCTTTCTTTCACTTGAAAAAAAGTATCTATGTCTGCAATGTTATCTCTGGTATGAAATTGGTGTTAGTAACTTAGGCCGTCAGGTCGACCAAGACTAAAATTGGTAGCAGACAAAATCCTGGGAAGTAAACGCGGCTAATGTGATGTTGACCATATTCCCCATCGAGGCACGATAGGTTTGTAAAACATATGTCTAGCATAATATGTCCTATACGCCAGTGACAAGAATGGAGTCCCTGTAGTAATCACTATATACATGAGGTAAAATTTTAATACTTCTATGTTTTATTAATATCCGACCCCAGATGATGTCAAAGCACAGTCCAACAATTTAGAGGGTGGTAAGACTGGGTTTTCTGGCTTTCTGATGCTTCTAACGACCCCAAACCATCTAGAACTGGCCCTAACCCCACCCACCATCGTCCCACGAGAGTGCAGTCGTCGCGCCAACTGTGTGTTGCAGTGTTAGACTTGGACATTTATTAAAGAACATGAAAGAAAGCTAATCACTTGCGAAATAAGATTTTTCAGAAAGACCTGAAACAAAACAAGAAGGGACCATGTGAGGAAAAAAAAAAAGAAATCCCAAGAACTATTGGAAGCACGTTAATTAAATTCATGAGACAAATTTAGGACTGAAAGGTCTTAGACGTTTAATGAGAATGTTGCCAGAAACGAGAGCGAATGACATGCAAGTAAAAACACAAAGAGCTAGGATGAGACGACCAAAACAAAGACGGATAAAATGAGTAACTAATACCTTGAGACTCCACAACATCACAGCATACTGGGCTACTGAGCGTGCCCTAGTTCGGAAACCGCTTATCTGCGAGCCTAGCGATACAAAGCAGAAAATGGTCAAAAGAAAGTATTTTTTGTAATTTTTTTTTAGATCAGTACATACCCGTCATCGCCGTTCAAAACGTGCGATAAATTGTTGTTTTTGTTTCTTTGCAGCGATTAGATCGGAATGTTACTATTTTTAGTTGTTGGTGCACATTCCAAAGATTACTACATATTTTTCTTTTTCGTCGTCGTCTTCCTATTTGGCATGTCGTGTGGCGTTGGTAGTCATGTATCAACTATCTTCTGTTTGGCGTGTACTTTCAATCGGTTCTGACACATATATTTCTCCATGCCATGATGTCAAACTGCGCAGCGTCTTCTCTTAGTCTGCCTCTGTCCCTTTTACCCTCCAACTTTTCCAGTTATGATTCTTATGCAGGGATGCTTCGTGCAGAGTGGCATGCTTCGCTCCGGAGGACACGAGTGAGGAGTATTGTCTGGATTTTTTCACCGGGTCACGCCGGTGTGTTGGGAAATGAACAGGCGGACAGACTGGCTGGCTCTGCACAACTTGGTGGAATACTGCTACATGATAGGGCAGACGTGGTTAGTGCCTTGTGGGAGAGCGTGTACAATGCGGAGGAGCAGATGGAGCACCACAGTTTGGTGAGATTGATGCAGTTAGGGGTGACGAGAGGTTCCGGCAGAAGCTCAAGGCTCAGAGGAAAGACAAGACGGACATTTAATCAGAAAGCTACTGGCACCATTATTATCGGAACTCTTCGCTGGCTGCTGAAGATGGAGACGGAGCGCTTATGGGAAAGCTCCGGGTGCTGTGATGTCGGTTCTTGAATCAAATCAAATCAAAACAAATCAGTTATGATTAACTCCAGTTTTCTCCTTATCTTTAAATGACCATACAATATAGATTGTGTCCTTCTGCTATGAGTAGTCACTTCTATCTGTGTGTCAGCTTCTTTCAAACCATCTTCATTGCTTATTTATATTACTTTTTGTTTCATGTGCCTATGTTCATCTCCTACAAAACAAAATTTCCGCCGCTTTGAAAAAAATGTGTTTTTCACTAATAGTCCATCTGTCCATGATTCACTTCCATAAATCAGGTTATCTTTCAGTTTTTCACACTTGAAATTGCTCTTTTACACCTCACTTAACAAAAAAAATATTGCACGGAATATTACTGCTTCATCTACGTGAGAAGAAAATTTCAGCAGTGTTAGTAGTAATTGTGTGTCCTGTCCAAACCTTGGGCTTATAAATTAGATATATAGTGTTAACTGAGTTCTCAGAGCATATATATATATATATATATATATATATATATATATATATATATATATATATATATATATATATATATATTTAAACACTATATATATATATATATACTTTTTTTTTTTAATTTAGATATCATGAAATTACTTAAAGGACAAATGGTAATTTGTATTGTTTCACATTTTGTTTTGATTTGACTGGAAATTAGGATAGAAATTGTGCTATGAATAGTTAGACAATCTGTCATTAACATGGTGGATATATTGTTTCCTTAGTACGTAATCACTGATTATTCTCCTCTATTTTATCTTCAGGGGAAACTTCTTTCAAGAAGCCATGAGCATTATTTACTTTTCTATATGTTGGGTGTAGTCTTAGTAATATATATATATATATATATATATATATATATATATATATATATATATATATATATATATATACACCAATATACACATGATTGTTGTATTAACATAGAGCAATTTCAAAATAATGAAAAGACTCCGAAATGCTCAAAAGACATCAAGTTATTTACAAGAAATGTTCAGTCTCGATTAAATGTTATATGTGACAAGCTGGAAAATACCTTGACAGGTCTAGACAAATTACGAAAAGATGGCAGGAATACTGCAGTGGAATGCATGATTTGAATGACTGTTAGGATGTTAAATGTTGAATTAGGAATCGACACCATGGCACTCGGTACACCCCTATAAGCGCTCCGTCCCCATCTTAAGCAGCAAACGAAGAGCTCAAATTCTGATGGCATCAGTAACTGTCTAATTGTATATCTGTCTCGCCCTTCCTTTGAGTGTTGAGTGTCGACCAGATTCCCTGGTAACTTCTCGCAGTGCAATTCTCCTTAGATCGTAATGAACTTTCTGCACCTTAGCACAGTTTACCTGTTCCTAAAGGGCTCTTACAATATTTAACTTGTCATGCATCAGTTAACCACCAAGTGGTGCAGAGCTAGCCAGTCTGTCTACCTGCTCATTTCCTAACACATTGGCATACCTGGAGAAAATATCCAACGGATGCTAACTACCCGGGACCTCTGAAGTGAGGCTTGCCACTCTACACGAAGCAGGCCTGTTTCACCATTCTCAACAGGCTCTGTGAGTCAGTTACAATCAGGGCATGTGTGTACAGTTGATTTTCAAGCTATCAGAACGCAGCAGAGACTCCATTTTGAAACTAGACGATGTGATATAATTCGCAAAAGCTTTGCTACATTAGGTGACGTTCATTCGCTTTTGCTCTGAAACCCCATGCACTTCGTCTGCACCTCAACACAGAG